CCTGGGCCGCGTCTCGCCTCCGGTTGTTTTTGCCTCGATCTGGCCACCTAATCTGAATAAAACAGGAGAGAGTGCATAAGATGCATCGAAAGTTTACCATCAAGCGCACATCACCGTCCCTGCGCCAATCATGATGTGGGGTACACAGCGCGTATCACCAGTACCGACTGCTGGTCTGTAAATCATGCCAGTTGTTTCGCATAATCCTAACATTTGCCCAAACACCTATACACCTCCTATACGGGTGATCTAATGAGCTATTTTAGGGAGGGGGATGGGGGGGCGGTATAGGTGTAAGTTATCCCAGCCGAAATTGTTGTTTTAAGTGTGTATTGTCAAGTGGAACTTTGTTGTTCGCCAACGAGATTGACAGTCTTAGCTGTGATTACTATAAATGGATAGGCAACACGTCATGATATATTGGTTAGCTTGGAGTCACCTTTTGTATCAATCTAAATTACACCGCCAGTCTGGCTTATCCGAACTCGCGCAGTTTGATTAGCCTCGGGATTTTCTGCGCACCTTCTATACCCTCGCTGTAAAACGTTTTACTCTGTGTTAGTTTGATTTCGTTATCGGCTGCGAAATCTTTCCTGCTATTTTAGCACTCACCTGGCTCAGGCATGTCCCCTGGGTTATAATGCGAAATTTCCCATGTTAAGATTGAAAAGTAGCGTTGGCAAACAGTTGTTTTCGATCATCCATCATGGGGCCTTTACACTCACATGTCAAATAATTTAATCAAGTATGTTAATGGTTCGTGGGATAGGTTGGGGGGGGGCGGGGGGAAAGCTGTGATTAGTCAACTCTTCGGTCCCTCGTGTCCTGCATGACGGAGTTTTCATTTTAAGCATGTTGCGGTGCGAAGTGTAGGGGAGGGGGTGTGCCAGCAGTAGTCTGTCAGAAATGCCATATGCGTGTGACTGTTCTCCATGGCTTCGGGCGGCGTGTGATTCCAACATGTAGTCGGCCAAAAGAAACAAACGCCTATACCAAATTGTTTTGACAGCAAAGAGCTGATTTTAGTAAGAGATTCGCTACTGCCTCGGCTGTGGCTAGCGTCGGCCTTTAGAGTAGTGTGCTAGTGCCTGGTATATAGCCTGAAATGCCTCTTTCATGTCAACTTGGTGGTTCGTATCGACTGACTCATTTTCCATCTCAATGTAGAAGTCTGATAAGGAGTGATGGAAAACAACTGTTTGCCAGAACTACTTTTCAATTAATTTTTTTGTTCATGCCACCCAAATTGGCCCATGCTGCTAACGCTCCCTTATCTCCACTTGACAGAGGGTATTCCATTTTGGGAAACTGTGGAACGCTTCAACGCCAATGTTGCCTACAGTGGGCTCGTGCATGCAGTGACTCAAGATGTACGTTTGCCTTGTTTACTCATTACGCCATAGCCTTATTTTTGATGAAAAGAAGGATTTCATGCCCGTCTCTTCCTCCTTTTCATCAGGGCGTCTTCGCCGAGAACAAGGAGAAGCTCATCAAAGATGCCCTTACCGTCCTTCTAACCAGATGTCCCAGCAACGCAGTGAATGATAACTTTTGTGATGCAGGTCTCACTGATCAAGAAATTTATCTGCAAAAAATGGAATCACGGTTTCATGCCATTCGCCGCCTCTTTGCGTCAAAGGCTGGGTTTCAATCCTTTACACAACTTCCTGGGTAATGTAATTGGTGCCATTTTGCTTGTCTCCTGCATAAGTGTTAAGTAGATGTTATTTTAATATATCACTTTGCCGCCCGTAGAATTCGGGAAAATCTTGGACGCGCCGTTGTCTCAGCGTTGGCCATGCAGGATGATGGTCTAACACATGTGGTCGTAGATGCCGTCAACGCCTTGATGCAACCCATGCATGCATCACCGGACCTCCGACAGGAACAACTCAACAAAACCTCAATCATGTCCAGTTCTGTCTTCATGGCACAACTAGTCAACGTCTTTACCCTGCATGCCGTGAGTTTGTTTGCTTTATATTGCCTGTTGACTAACATCTACTTAATTACTAGAGTGATTACGCGATTTGCTGTACTTTGTCTTTGTGTAGAACTCAATATGTCTGTAGTCCTTGCTTTTGGATAACGTTTTCATCTTCGTTTTGTTGAATGTCCCATTTTGTTTCTACCGACGGCGCTATATCTGACTTCCCGCAAGTTTGGGTTGTACTTCGTCTTTTTTCAAACGAAATGATGAATGTCGAATGAGTTCTTTTAGCTCATACAATTATAGGGATCGGAGATGTTAGTTCAGTCTTGATAAACGGCACAGTTCTTGCCTTTGCGAGCGAATTGTTATTTTCATTTAACTCGTGAAATTGAGGGCTTTAAGATGATATCAGTTACCATGGCAGCCAGTTGTGGACGACAATCGGTTCCATCAAAAGCTCGGAAGTCTACTTAAGGCCAGTAGAAACACC